AGTAGACAAGACGTGCTCGGTCTCATCAGTCATCATTACAGCGAAGTTTATTACAATTAAAATGTTTTCTAATTGATGTATAAGTTTCGATAAATGCCGGTTAATGCTTGGAGGAATTTTAAAACACGATTTGGAAAAGCGATTTCACGAAAACTTTCATCACAATGCAGCTCATTTCAGTACATCAGTTTTCATTGGGTCATGTATAAGGATTTTCAATAAGGATCACATATTTTTTGGAATGTCATGGCATCCAAAATAATCGGTCTTTTATTCAAACTCAATGTTAATAACAAAATAATCGTTCTTCTATTCGTCGAATTCACTCAAGAACTGAACTCACTTGATCATCAACAACGTTCATATTTTTTGCATGGGCTTCGGGGCAGCTTGAACTTGATCCAGAATTTTAAAAACGCCTAATAAATGCGGTTCAAATCAAGAACTAAAGTCACTTGATCATCAAAAGCGTTTAGATTCTGCTCCAGAATTTGAAAAAAGCATCGAAAATGGAGTTCAATAGCCACATTTTCGGTTGAATGGAAGCAAAAATGTCACATTGGGTCTTAAAATAATTCACAATATATTCATGAGAACCATTGGCATCCAGAAAAAGTTACTGTTTCCATATAGTGGACCAATTTTCTTTATAAAACTGGCGATCGATGCTAACAGATTTTTATGGGCACAATTGATTTGGAAATGTTGTGGTTTTAACAAGATGGAGCCACATGAAATGTTGCTAAAGCCACAATCACCTTCATGGAGGAAAAATGTTCTGAATCAAAAATATCCATAAATGCATCTGTTAATTGGCCTCCAATAAATGTTCACATCAATTTTAAAAAACTTTAAAATGCTTTTTAAACTGGTGAGCTTCCATTGAAACTGTTGAGTGTTTGAAAAACTGAAAATGTTTAGTAACAAGAAATGTTACTAATCTTACAAAGAAAATAAGAAAATATTTCTTACTAACACGAGCTCATGTTAACTTCGCGCTTATACTATCATTTCTGATAAAGAGTTTTGCATTTGTAACCTACTCAACTCATGGCTAATATAATTATTCTTGAGTTTTGCCAACTTTAGTCGTAGTCTTTCGTAGAAAAAAAGTATTTCGGACGTTTTGCAGGAACGTGTGGCTTAGACCATCAGAGATGTTTCGCATAAAAGCTTACACTGAACTAATCCCAAATAGTTTATTTGGACTTCCATTGTTTTAGATATATATTTTTATCACAACGTTTCGGTTGATATTATTCTCAACCGTTTACAGAATTGGCGTGAAAACGGTGTAGATATTATCAACTGAAACGTTGTGATAAAAACATTTTGGAAAGACAATGGAAATCCAAATAAACGACCAAATTCAGAGGTGCGTTGCTCGAAAATTTACACTGGACTGATCTCGTATTCGCCTGCAACTGGTTGCAGATTCTACCAACGGAAACATCGTAAGCTTGAGAGCGAAATACATCTGAACAATTTTTTTGCATGAGGGCATAACAGCCGGTAAAACTCGCCAGTTTCATGCAATGACCGCAAAAGCTTAACTATTATGAGCATTTTTTTCTTAATTTCCGTAGCCGTTTACACTAAATTATAGTTATAAAATATTGAGAGATAAATATCAAGACAATTTAATTGTTATTTTATTAAACTACTTATCAATAAAAAAATAACCACAAATTGCTACAAAGTATGCCATTAACTTGATAAATTAATTAGTTATATTGGCACTCATCTGAATAAGCCCTATGCAAATGCAACTATTCCAACCCGTAATTTTTGCGCTTTTATTATTAATTTGATCTAACTATTACATAGAAATCCGAATCAAGCAAAGGCGTGACAATTTAGCAAACAACCAAACTTTCGATATGGAAACATATGGTTAATCGCTTTAATATTTGCGGAAACACCAATTAGTCGAACCAAATTGGGCGAGAGCATTTTGACGAAAAATAATGTATTTTAAACGGCAGCAGTTTTGGTCATTGACGAACTATTGTTGAAGATTTAATGAAACATGCAATCACTGAAATAACAACTCGATTGCCAAAGTGGAACGTTGTTTTTCCGGCATGCTGTTGGTTTAGCGAAAGGAAAATGACACAAAAGTTGTTTTTTTAAAAAGCGTTTTAGAATTTGTGGTGGAAAATAAATAGCTACCGATACTCAGTGCCAAACGTTCGCAAACTCTCACGAGTGTAAAAAGCAGTTGTGCAAGAGCACCAAAAACCATTTCCTATTAGTTTCACATCATATGCGTATTATTAAACGAACATCCAAACATGCTCGAATTCCTCCACTACGTGAAAGACTAATTTCAAAGTTAACCAAGACACAAGTAAGAATTTAGCAATATAACTTGGAGGAGTTTATAAATCACTAGCAATTTATTGTCTTAAAAATCGATACATTGTAGAGCGACCAGGATATTATCTTCCTGGCGTCAAATGAGTTAGCGGAAAGTCTCTCGGGAGGAGATTTAAGGAATATTAATAGGCATGACGCTAAAAGTGAATTAACTTAAGTTACTGAAAAATCGCCCAGCATATTTAAAACTTTCTTTAACTCGGATCAAACGACGCTATCAAGTTACACTTGATAAAAGAGCACACGACCCCATTTTATATTCTGCACACAATCAAAGTTAGAATCAATCACTTATTGGCGGGCTGGTTCGTGCAAGGGGTCTAAAATGCTTTACACCGATGCCGCGAAAAAAAAATACCGACAGCAAAATATCGGACATTTACAAATTTCCCTGATAAATCGGACTTTTCGATAAAGGGATCAGGCACTAAAGCTCTCCATATATCGACGGCAGGCAGCAAAATTAATGCAGACATTTGTTTATTTTGAGCGCAAAACTCCATTTTTCGTGGCCGTTTTATTGGAAATAGTCCGCGGATCTATTTTTGCTAAAGCTAAATGTAGCACAAAAACACCCTGTTGGCAAAGGAGGCAAATTCGACCATTATACAGTATTGAACTGAATTGTATTTTTTTCAAGATTAAAATGTTAGTTTTTATTGAGCAGTTCCTTCCTTCCGTATTAAAGTATATATTAAAGTTAGACTTAATACTTAGACGTTTCGAGATTTGAGATTTATCTTTTTTTAAATAATTTTCAATTATTTTCAACAGGATTTATAAAAAAATTCAATTAAAATTTCTTTGACAGCAAAGATACATTTAAGTTTTTCATTTTAAGGGTTCATGACCACACATATTCAATATCGGTTTTTGATTTGATTGCTATTTAAATTAATTATTTTAATTAGATAAATGCTTGAGATTGACTCTTATTCCTGCAGGAAAAGAATGAAGCCTTTAATAAAGGCTCAAGTTCATAAAATTGATGTATGAACCATGAAAATGTGGTTTCACTGGTATGAATCCTACTATTCGGTCAACAGTGTTAAGGCAAACTTTTGCATTAAAAGCATCGAAAAATTATATTTGCTTTAAAGAAGTCATTAAATTTATGTAAAAAAATGCTAAGGCAAAATTCCATGGAAGTCGAAAAAAAACGTTAGATTTTATTGTATTTTAACACTCGGCATGCGGAAAACTAACCGTTTTTACCAACGTTTATAAAGAAAGTTTCTTCACCTTCTCATTTTAAAAATCCTACCACATCATCGGTTTTCAAAACAAAAAAATCAAAAGTTGCCAGTTTGTTAAATTACAATCCAAGTTTCTGCTCACTTCTAATTTCCACAATGTCTCGGTGATTTCTTTATTTTACACTAAAACAAAGCGCAAAATAGTCCAAAAAAAGATGAATTTTTACATGAAACAGTCAACATTCAACTTTTAAACGTACGTAAAAAAATGTACGACAAAACATTCAAAAATGTGAACTCCTCGTGCTCAATAAATCTTTAGAAATTTGGTCATTTTGAATTCTAGCCGATTCATACTTAATTTCTTGAGCTAGTCTGGAAAAAAATGTTTCGGAAAATGTTTGATATTTTCCGACTAAATCTGAACTTTCAACAACGGTTTTCTGCACTTGTCGGCACAAAAAACAGAATTTTCTGTGTATATTTGAAAAAATCTTGACGTGTAACAATTTATTGCTGAAAAAGATTGGGGTTTTCGGGCTTTTAGACCGTCGTGAAAATTTGTTTATATACGTTTTACAAGCACGAGTGGCACCTCTGAAGATGCAATTTTGAGAGGTTCTCCGAGTAGATCAACTCGTTTTCCACGAGGGCCTAAAAGCTCGAAAAACTCATCAGTTTCAAGCAATTAAACCCAAACCTAAAGCTGTAAAAGCCTAACTGTTCTACTAATTTGTTGTTCGTTTATACCAGCATTTATTCATATTTATATGAAAATGATATATTAGGATTATGATGATAATTAAAATTATATTATTAGGATGTTTTGGTTTTTGAACCTGGCTTGCTTTGTCTTAACTGCTTACGTACCGAAACGTTTGTTATAAAAAAAGACATTCGAAATTTACATTTAATTTAACTGGCTACTCTGATATTTTTTAAAAATTCTGAAGATTTTCAAAGAAAACACTTCATTCGTATTATGTTAAATTATTTGCATTTTTTACTTTTCCCCGAAAATGTATTCCATTTGCTTATATTTCCCTTTATGTAATATTTAGAATATTTTCAGATAGACAAACGTTATTTACAAAAAAAAATTGCTCAAGCTCAAGAGGTTAACACCCGTATCTAGCAGTAATAACCACCACGAGATAATAATTTTTCGTGGATTGCAAAGACTACTTCTTATACTCGCCCCCGTCGGTGAAAACGAAAGCCGGTCCTTTGGAAAACATCCAGATAATCCAGCCGGATATTTAATGCATAAACTCACATGCGGTCTCTAAGCATTCAACCCATATTTGGCTTTAGCTTTACAAGCCTTTGTTTGCGTGCTCTTATTAGCTATGCCACTTTATTGCAAAATTCAACTATAGGCCCGAAAGCTGTCCAGTTAAATTCAGGCAATATGTGCTGTTTCAGGTGGTCGCACGGTCTTCTGTTCCACCAAGGAGCTGTAGACTGCGCTAGAGCAGCCCTTCTTCTGCCGCTCGGCACATCAATTCTACACTGCCAACCGGTCCACAAATGCTCACTGGTAGAAACAGCGTTCCTTCTACTGGTTACTGTAGCTACTGTAAATATGCTCACCACCGTATTGAATGATTCGCCCGTTTTCCCGGATGATGAAGATGCAGACAGCATGGAAGCGCCTCTGCTCATGGACTCACCGCAATGCGTTCTATTCGGGACTTCGATGATTTGGTTCGCATCCATCACAATCAATTTGGGACCGACGTTTCTTTCTGGTAATCAGCGTTGTTTTTTTTCACGTAAATGTTGCACTTAACAGTCGGATTTCTATTGCAGGAGCATTAGCAGCTCAAGGTGAAGCTGGTCACAAACACCCATCGTGTCCCTTGATCTACGGCCCGTTAAGACACTATATCTTAAACGCGCTTTGGATATTTGTGAATTTAGTGTGTGTATTCCTTACTCTGGTCCATTTGAGAAAACTGCACAGGGACTTAACGAAAGCCAATGTAGAGGCAGTTAGAGTAGCCGGTCTGATGACGACCTTAGTTAATGTCACCGGTGGGTCCAATCAGATGAATTCTATTAATCATAGGGTAAGTAGCCTCGCATGTTAAAGTACATAAATTAAAGTTAGCAAACAGTATTGTTGATTTGATGAACGGTGGGTCCTTGAGGATGGCAGGAATTMTSCAKRAACGACTTTATTCTACAGCGYAGATTCGAGGTTGCAATWAGTAGGAGTTSCCCAGAAAATTTAATGCTTTCCTRCATGGTGATTTTTAATTGGGGTCATTTGTAGAAAACATTTACATTTGAAGAAGCAAATTTACCATTTTGGAGTCTCTTTGAAGTTGCTTCAAATGTGGTAATAATGTTTTGATGGTAAAATGAACACGTATTAATTCGCTTCGTTCTGGGAGGTACTTCTGGAAGAAATTGTGCAAGTAATTTTTGACCATCCCGTATAGTAGATCTACTTAATACTAGAAACTTATATTTCTGTAGCCTGATAAAAAATATATGAAATAATCGGTTTTCTGGAAAAAACGAAAACAGCGTTCATCCGTATAATCGATAAAACCATTTCCGCACTTTTTTGCAAAACAAGGGTCATTAATTCGGATCGAGAAACCCAACAGAACGGGCTGAAAGTGAAAATATCAATTTTTTACAATTACGTACAGGGTGTGTCGAAAGCTTGTCGTCAATTGGTGTTTCGGCAACGATTCGTTTTGAATAAAATGGGGTTTTAACATTGAATTTGACCACTTAAAAATTTGCTGCAACTGGCTTTGTGTATTCTGATATTATTTGGGAATGTTGTATATTTAATCCTAATCACCGTTGAAACACTCTTTGATATTAACTGGAAAAATATGAGCTGATCTAAAAATTTCATCTTGCCTTATTTTTTCGGCAAAAATCGGAACAAAATTTCAAATTCGGGAATTTTCCTGGATAAATCCGAAATATATAATTTTTTTAAGGTACTTCGAACATTCCCGATAGATAGTCGTTGTTGCGTTTGAAATAATAATGAGAAAACAATTAAACTTCTCTCTTTTCCGAATGTCAAAGATGCATAAAGCGTGAAAATATGGCACCTACACATTGGAGATTTGGTAATTTATCGCCTAAGAACTGTAGTGTGATTTAGCGTAAAACAGCTTGTATTTTGGGTTTCCAAACATTCCCAATTAGATGAAAGGGATTTTTGGACTAAAAAACTCTTCATCCCCAATTAGATTCGAACACTTTACACCATCAATGTAGTTCGCTCCACATCCTATGTGAAAAGTTTAACTTTTTTTAATAAAAGGAAACACATGTGGTTGTGGCCCCTCAACAAAAATCAGGTCAATTGGAGCTTGATTCCAACTGGTTCACTTCGCAACTTGTGTAAAACTTCCTGGTTATGATACCCGATACGAAAATAGCAATGCCGTTCGTTCAAATTAGATCAAGCTCATAAAACCAAAGAAATTCCCCTCAAATCCAAAAAATCCTGGATATTTCGAAACGAATAAAAAATCCCAACAATATACGTGGCATGAAATATCCGTCGCAACATGTGATATTATGTAAAATACACATTTGGAGCTTGCATGCCATAAATCTAAAAGTTCAGACACACACGCAGGAATAACAAGTCATGTGCCTTGATTTAAGTTTGCCTGCTGACAAACATAATTACCTACGTTGCTTAGTTGTATAACTTTCTCTTAGCAGGAGTTATTTTCTGGAAAGTAATTCGCAAATGGATCTTCTACGCAACAGACCCTGTCTATAGTAATAACACGGGAGAACAGAACAATTCTCTAACAAAATTTGACATAAAACCGGCGGAAACGTTATCCGATATCGACCATCAATCAATCAACTGAAGATCGGATATTTCGTTACAAATTAATCTAGAAAAACAAATTTTTGACCCACTTTATGGTAGGTAATAAGCAATGCATTGAATCGTGCATATTTAAATAATGCCAATTAATGTGCTGGCGCTCATTAATCCCATATGAGCATTCATAGCATTAAACTTAGTTAAATAGTAAAGCTGCTTTCAAAACTTACCGATCAATTGAAACGCAAATATTTCAGTGGTTCGTGGAATTAACTGTGCAAATAATTCACATACCTGAAACAATAAACAATTTATTAAAAAATTAAATTTCTATAATTTGCATAATTTGACTGGGTATGATTCACATGTTATTATATATATTTTTAAATTATGTGATCAGGCTGATTATTTTAAGTTGCTTATTTAATTTAAATAAATCAATATTATAAGTATTGTGTAATAATAATAGGCCAAAAATTGATGCAAATAATGTGCATACCTGAAACAATAAACAATCTATTTAAATAAATTTCGATAATGTGCATAATTTGACTGGGTATGATTCACATGTTATTAAATATATTTTTTTAAATTATGCGATCAAGCTGATTTTTTGAAGTTGTCTATTTAATTTAAATAAATCAATATTATAAGTATTGTGTAATAATAATAGGCCAAAAATGGGTGCAAATAATGTACATACCTGAAACAATAAACAATATATTTAAAAAAATTTCGATAATGTGCATAATTTGACTGGGTATGATTTACATGTTATTATATATATTTTTAAAATTATGCTGATTTTTTGAAGTTGTTTATTTAATTTAAATAAATCAATATTATTATTATTGTGCAATAACAATGAACCAAAAAGTTCAAAACTACTAAAAAAATTAAACATGCTGAACTCAAGAAAAAAAAAAATATGTAAAACCAACATACGCTCTTAATATGATTAACAGTCTATTCGTAATTGCGCAAACTGGGAAAAAATGATAGTAGGAAACGAAAGAACGCAAAAGTATCAATAATGGCAACAAGAACATGAAAAAAGATCAAAATCTAAATAAGAGGTTTGACGGATTTGATTGCTGATTCAAAAAATTTTAAAAATTATTTACTACTGAAAAGTAATTTGTCACGTTTTATATTTTACAGTTTTCCAACGATGAATAAACAGAAATATAATAAAATTAAATCAACAAATAGTTAAAAAATATTGCTGGGTATAGTTTGTGGAATAGTGATGAATCATTAACAAAAACGCTATTAACACTGTCGGAAGAAGCTTATGTAAATAGGTTAACTTTTATTAATTAAGCGTCCCAATTCCTAAAACTCAACCCAACCAATCTATCAGCTCAAAAAATAAAAACCAAAGCAAAATAAATCCTGTATAGAAAATGCACCAAGGAAAATTTATATTTTTTATATTAAGTTAAGTGGGGCGCAAATTGCATGAATATAAAACTTTAATAAAACTTTCTAAAAGTATGTACTAAATATAATTATTTGAAGAGCCGCAAAGCGACAAAATGGTTCATGACAGCAAAGCGACAAAATGAATTTTTGTTTTCTAGAAAAATAATTCCCCGATTTCACTATCTACCCGATCAACATGTGAAATATGCAAAACAAATTATACTAAAACAGTTATTAAGCTGGGTTATTACTGAAAACATCATCGTTATTTATGCAGATAAAGTCAGGAGTTAGAAGTTAAAAAGGAAAACGCAAAAAATAATTGCATTAACTGGCTTATAGTAATTATGCCAGTTTGTCTGGCAATTTTAATTTCGTTCAAAAGCTCTGGAAACTTTCCAATTCAATTTCGACTGAAAGCCCCCAATTATAATCCCCTGCAATCATATTCGACCGTCTTAAAACAATAAGTTGAAATGGTATTTCCTCAATAGGTCGAGAAGCCCTTTGCTCTAGATAAATAACAACATTAGGCAAACTGTTTGTTCATCGTCGCCTTGCCATTCGGGGAAACATTTTAAAATCAGCTTAATTAGTGGCGTCTATTGAATCAGTTCCCGAATCCAATTTAACCCTCGACAAACCGGTAGCGGAATTTTGAACAAAAACTTAATTGCACTAAATTAGAATCTTAAGTGGCGAAAGGGATGCCATCGAATTGTCCCATGGTTCCTCTTCAAAGTCTCACATTTCAAGTTTTTTTTTGCAGTTGGGATGGAAAAACGTTACCAGTAAACAACATCAACGGGCTGCCCTTAACTTTTAAAATGGAGGTTAACATATTGTTTCCTCCTGCAAGAAAATTTACTGTTTTCCCTCGTGGGAGAAAGTTAGGGTAATGTTGCTTAATCATTCCACCCTACTCCGCGGCATAATAAATCGCTATGCGGAGGGACCTTAACTAATTGTTTTAAATCTTCGCGTTGGCAAATAAAAAATCGAAGTTGCGTAGCTAAATGGATCTTGAAGGTAGGTGCATTCTTATCACATATCTCTTTCCCCCATATTGATTAACCGGAAACATTTCTGACAAATATTAATGGTAGGGCTTCAGCCGGAATTGAGTGATGGGTTTTTTTGAGGAATTGCCAAAGTTTTATGTGAGCAGGCTTAAAATAGAGTCAGGGCATCAAAGGTTGAATATGGAGAAAGAACTACATTACAGCCCCTCTTTTACGTAATTAGGCTTTAGATCGGCGAGGGAATGGAACACAGCGGAAATGCACGCAAATTTCCTTTCATTCAAAGGAGTTTTTTCAGTCGAGTAATTTGCATCTTCTCTCTTGCACCCAGACTAACCAGCTCTGAAGATGCAGAGCACTGTGATTTCTTTAGCAAAACCCGAGTTCTCGGCAGCAAATTTCACTGAATGATGAACGAAAAGTGCTTCAATGTTTTAGCAACAACGGGTTTGGTTGTTTGCTGAAAACGTTGTGATCATATACATTATTTCGGGTAAATTATTTCCATATTTACTCGCCCTTTTCCTAAGCCTGCCGTAAAATATGACTTGAGATACCCGGTTGTTTTTCCGCGACAAGCAAACAATTCCCACTCTCCTCGCCTGAAAGTGTTTTCCGCATAGACGATGCCAAAATGCTTTCTCCCTTGATCAATATCGGGTAAAAATAAAGTCCACGACCCGTAAGATGTCAGTAAATAAAAATTCCCACACATCTAATAAATGAAGATTCGATTAGGTAGTAATAGCTGGACATTTGTATCCAGAAACACGAAAAAAACGACTGTTATGGAACAAACGACTATGTAATCCATCAAGTGAATGGCTAACGTCCATAGACCACAAGGTTGAAGCTGGAAAGTTTTCGTTTTTTCTTTTCGATCAAGTTTAGGATATTTAATCAGGCAACCGTTCAAAGCCTCAGTTTAAGAAGTTTAAAGCGTAATTTTACAGCAATTGTTGTTCTTTCTACACATTGAATTCATGAGGCAAAAATTGATGGTGAAAAATCCATTTCAGACCGTCGTCTAAGTTTCCCGAAAGTTTGGTCGTTGCAAATCGAGCTGGATAAAAGATTTATTAAACTCTCAGGGCGGCAAATATTAATAAATTGAAGACGTGAACTAATTTAATTCGATATTCGCCGCTTCTGCCTCAACAAGGAAACTCTGAAATTAAGTTAAAAGTTTCTGGCATATAACATTTCGCCATTATATAATTTTGCCGAATCCAAAGCGAAAGTAAATGGGTCAAACCAGTAAATAAACGAGTCAGATAAAGGCTTGAGAGAATTTAAACTAGCTTTCAGAATTTTTGCTGACGTTTCACAAGCACGAGTGGCTTGCGTCTTCAGAGGTGCTATTAATTAAAACAAACCAGTTTTACCACGAAAATTTTACTTGGTTGAGAAGACTCTTTGAAATTAGCACCGAATGCGTTTTTCTAACATAAAATTTCCAAATCTTCCGGAACTGATCAACTTTAGCAGTATAAAGAGTTTGTTCCTTTTTCTGAGCAGTTTTATGAACGATATTACTTATCCACAAGCGGGCACTTTTGGTGTTTTACAGGTTCACAATAAAACTTTTATTTCAATGTGGATTCTAAAAGTCTGAAATCCATAAAAGTTAATGCGGCCGGAATGAATCAGGCAAAATTAGCCAAAAAACATCAAAACTACCAGGAACACTAACTAGATAGTAACAAAGACCATACTAGTGGAAACGTGGAAATTTATTTAAAAATTTACAAAAAATAGAGATAAACCGAATGAAAAGGAGTTACAATACTGGAAAATAATAACCTGCAACGTTAGAACAAACGGGTCATAACAGGAATTAGAAGAATTTTGAAAAAATAGGCACATATTAAAAATGACAGTAACTAAAAAGAAATAAAAAGAACCATTCCAAAATAATGAAAAATCGTTAATATACGACTGTTAAAAATCTATACATACAGCGGATTTTTCTAACAAAGCTCAGTGTTATTTGCTGGCAATTTTCGGTTCTACCGCTCCTATAAATAATTGTTGATTTTCTCATTCGTAATTTAATTGTTTCAGACTAGTAACGGAGGCGTAGAAGAGCAAACAAGAATGCGGGACTATCTGCGAAAGATGGAACGAGATGGTGTACAAAGAGTGAAAATGTTCTTAGTGATAACTGCGGCTTACGTCCTATTCTGGGGCCCCCTGTTTCTGGTTACCCTCATTAACCATCCGATAGTTGGAGGCAACCCTTTAGGGCACGAGGTAAGTGCGTCTTACGTCTCAGGGAAATCTAGCAATGTGTAGTTTCCCGGAAAACTTCTCGGGCAAATATCAAAAGTTCCAGCAATTCTTCCACACAATCACTGAAATTGAGGAACCCTCATCCCCTACAATCTGATCAATCCGCTTCGAAACCTTGGAGACACTAAACTTGCGTTATAAACTTCGGCTTTGGTTACGGCAAACACAAGATAATATCAATTTAAAGTGCTGTTTGTGGTAGCGCGTATAAAGTTTCAAGCGCCGTTCTCTTCAATGACACATTTTCCAGCAGCAAAAGAGTTTTGCGGATATTTTTAGAAAATCGCTCACTTGTTTCAATCGGGATGATTTCATTTCGATTTTCACTCGTGTTTGATACGGATGATTTTATGCGAGTTGATAGCAACTTTAATCTTTCGAAGTGAATTTCAGACGATATAAAGAGAAGTGGTGTGAGATTCGGTTACTTTTCAATACTCGTAACGACTCGTTCCTTTCGGCTCCAGTACTTGTTACTTCAACTCCGTTATTCAAGTAATAATTTTTTTTTAACTTTGATCATTTTAAACTATTTCCGTTCCGTTTTTCGTGCAGTACAATTCTTTTTAATTCATATTTTGTTTTATAGTCTATTAGATGGTTAATTGCTTACCTAATTTTTCCCAGAAACAGAAAGTAAAGTAGAGTGCAGTTATTTCTATAGCTTGTAAAATGACAAACGTTTTTGTTTGTTGGGTCTTCAATTTGAAGATGCCTAAGCTAGGGAAGCCTATATTAAGTGCGATTAGGATGTTTTTAAACAAGTGGGTGAAGATTCAGCAAAGTGCAATTTTTGTTCCCAAAAACTGTCGTTTAAAGGCGGATCAACTTATAATTTAACTCGCCGCATTCGGGCAAAGCATTCCATCCATCAATCAGGAAAGTCAAATTATGCATTATCGATTTTTTTAAAAGAAGCCCTAAAGCCATCGAAAATTTTAGAAAAATACAAAAAATATATATTTAATAATGTAACGGAGGAAATGAGTAGAGAGAAAAGCAAATAGGGGCATCGAAAGTGAAAGTGAACGCACTAAAGAAGTTTGTCTTCGTTTTCTGTTCAAAGATGCAAATTTGCCAAATCCAGTTAAAATACAAACAAGATTTGAAAATATTGAGTGTTGCGGTGTAAACAGAATGTTTTTCGAATCAATATTTTTAGATCCACGATTTGGATATGAAAACAACAATCTAGAGAAAGAATTAGGGCATCAAGTAGCTATTAAATCAAGTTGCCAAAGTTATGGATGGATCTGGACGAGAATGTTGCAAAATTAATTTCAAGTAAAAACCCTCAAGAAGCAAGCATTATAGAAACCGATAAATATTTGGAGGAACCAATTTTAGATAGAACACTGGATCAATAAAATGGGGGAAAGCTCGAAACAATATTTCAATCTTTATACTGAAGATTTCTAGGCAAATGTTGTCAGTGGTTGCATCATCTGTTCCGCTTGAGCGTTAACCGAAAGAACAAATCGTTTGACGAGTAACAAAATAACTCAAATTTAATTCCTAAATGTTAAACTCAATATTTTCCATAGGTATTTACATGCATAATTTCCAGTTCAATTTTGAGTTTGTGTTTTGGTTTGGTGCTGTTTTTATAAATTTATTTTATGATGAGTTATTTTTATAAGTCATCGTTGGAAACAAACGGATAAGAGCGCACATAAATGATTCACATTACTTTACTTTACATCTGGGCTTTACCCACAAAAACTGAAATTTATAGATAAATATTATTAATTGCCTTACAGCCGCCCTCCTAGAGATTTTATGTTATGTTATGTTATTTTGTTAAGCTGATCAGTTTGATAAATCTTTGAGGCATACGGCAAATAAAAAAAAATCTTAAAAAACACGTGTTTCCGTATTAAATACAGCACAATAAACGAGACGCTCTTTGAACAAGTGAGTCTTTCGGATTGAATGACTCGAACACGAAGGGACACATCACTGATACACACGAAACATGAAATATAAATTACTTAAAAATTTCAAAACCCTGTTTCGATGAAACGCACTATCGATAGCGAATGAAACAAACCAAATCCGATAGAAATTTCAACGATATTTGAAGCATTATGATTTTGTATTTCAGATTACCCTTCACATATCTTACATTCATGCAATAGTGAACCCCACGCTATTTCTCGTGTTGCATCGGGGGCTGCGCAGGGCCGCCCTGGACGCCTGTTGCGGGTGGGTGGTAGAATGGTTGGGGCCGCCGCCCATACCAACGCCGCCCGATCCGCCCCGAAGGTTTATTATTCCCGAAATAGCCTGTTTAAAGCCGCCCATGCCCGCCCATCCCGACAGTGCAATGGTAATTAAATATTATATGTAAGTGGTGTAACATACGCGATGCATGTGTAATTTTGCTTTTGGTTTCTTATTATTATTATAAGTTGTTAATAATGTCGAAAGATTATCGAATGTTTCAAATAGATAGTCAGTCCTTTTGGTGCGCTCCAACACGCGGTTTGAAATCGTTCAAAACTGATCAGAAAACTTGTGTCTGTTCATACCAATGGACAACTTGCTATCAAACTGCTGTTGGACCGTACGTGACTGTGTTTTTCATATAAGTTTGATTATTGGTCAAACATCGAGAGTGACCTTTAAATTAATGCATTGTGATTTAAACAGTTGGCGAAAGTACTTTGAAAATGCAACTATTTTCGTTTATTTAGCTTCAAATCCTTTAGAGCGTATGTAGAGTAGTTCGCAACATTTTTGTGAATTTCGCGCAATTAATTTGAATGAGCAATTGCTAATAAATGTCTTCAACACTGGACGTTTTTAAGCTAATAATTTTTTAATAGACTTTTTGCACAAATTGACAAATTTGCACAAAAATTCCTAATCAAGGCATCAAATTGAGACACACGAGATATATAGTAAAAACATAGAATAGAAACCAAGCCATTGGCCTACTCCCTGTTTCGAGCAAATATTTTTTATTAATCAATTTGGTAAATTTTGTGCTAAAGACAACATTTTGGAAACAAATCTCTTATCAGGCCCAGAAATTGAAACTCACTCGGTACATAACAGCCATATTTTTCTAATAAATGTTGGCCCCTGATATCATCAGCATTCGTCGTTTTCTAGCAATTACTTTTTTAATATTGCCTGTCGAAATTTGTCTGCCGCTAAAAGACCCAATATTTGGAAGTTTGGAAAAAAATCCCTAATCAAGGTATCAAGTTGAGAAACACGCAAAATATAATGGAAACGTTTTTCTACCAAATCATCTGCGTTGCTTGCTTTGAGCCATTCTATTTTTTGCGCAATTAATTTTTATTAACCGACTTGCCAAATTTTAACCGACTAAATGACGGAAATATTAAAAATTTGCAAAAAAATTCCTGATCAGGCCCCGAAATTGAAACAATACAACATACAACAACATACAATGTATACGAAACATGAGTCAAGCCACTCATTTTTTGATACAGATTTGCGGATTTTGTTTGCCACTAAACGATCGTAACATTTAAAAATTTAGAAAAAATCCCAAACGAAAACATCAAATTGAAAAATACTGCGTATATAATGGACACTTTTCTCTACCAAATTATCTGCATTACTCACTTTGAGCTATTCTAGTTTTCGAGCAATTATTTTTTATTAACAGAGGTGCATGATTTTCTATGGCTAAAAGACAAAAAATATATTAAAAAATTTGCAAACGAAATCCTGATTATGAATAACGATATATATAATATATACGATATATAACGGGTACATTTTTCTAATAAATGCTGGCGCTTCATTCTTCAACTCTTGTCGTTTTTAAGCAATTATATTTTTTTTAAACAGACTCGAGTCGTAATTTGTTTGCCACTAAAAGACCGAAAATTTGGAAATTTGCAAAAAAATCAAGGTTTAAATTTGATAAATACTCGGTAAATAGTGTCCCTTCCAAATTCTTCCACTTTCGAGCAATAATTTTTTATTAGTCGAAGTCAGAATTGCATGTGGAAGACTACTGCGACCATTTTATAGCTTTTTAAAAATACATCAATTTTTGAAAAGTCTCTGACTCGCTAATCATCACTCCCAACGGGTCAAGCGAGCTCGACATGGAAAATCGCTCAATATAAATCGAATATAACACACAGTTGTGTCTCTCTTTAACCATGCACTAGACTTCATTCGGTCAGACTTTCATTATTTCCAATGTTTACGAAACAAATGGTTTTTTTCCGGTTCATAATCGATCAGAAAAAACGACAAGAATACACCAATAAAACTACAGAATAAAAGTTAATTCTGGCAAATAGCTCCCCGAGAGAAATAAAAACACTAAAGAAGAAAAGGTAAGTGTATAACAAGCCCCAAGTATCCTTGAAGCGTACTCAGGATTATGAAAAATGAACAGGCTATTTCCCACATTTCCCGAGAGAAAATTAGACTCTGTTTACCCATATACCTTGCTGAATTTTAATCTGCTATGTCTAAAGAATGTTTTACTTTTCTAAGTTGGTGATTTAGTCATCTCGAGAGCTCCCCATTTGCCTCCTGCCATAATTTATGAACAGCAAACGCGATACGTAACGAACGTGTTTGAAATTCTGATCCCTTTACGAACCCCATTTGCCCTCTTTAGTGATATGAAAATTTAAACTATGTGGGCCTTTCTCCTTTAAATCGCACAAGAAAGGCATTTTATAGATACTCGACGCCTCTCTCCACCTACTTCATGTGGATGCTTTTAAAGCGGACATATTTGGTGCTTCATGTTGCGCAACTGTTCGAAGGAAAAGGAGGCAAAAAAGTGAAATAATTCGAATTCCTAATACGACTAGAGGGCCTTTGAGGACGAACTTTAAGCGGTTTATAACGGCGTAATAATAAAAAGGCCGTTTACTTAGAAAAATGTGCAAACCCCAATTCAAGCTGGTTTCTGTCGTTACAGGGAAACACCGATTTGAGTCTTTGGTCTCCAGATAGCACTACAGACCTGGTGCTGCCTCTGGACCCTTTGAATAGAGGAATTAAAATTCCCCGTTTTTGCAGTCCCGAAATAGATCGTTCGCCAACCGCAAGCGAAGAACAAGAACAATTAGATTGGGATCGATCCACGAAAATTTAGCCACGCACAAAAATTTAAATACTCTCCTAACTACTAACGAGCACTACTAATATACAGGGTGTAATAAACCAAAGATTTCTATTTATTGCCTGTTAAAGCCCCGATAAATGAGCGAATAAATTCGCCAGTAAGCAGTAGACATTAGGGTTCAAAAACGATAAGCTATTTACGATCGTAAAAATAGCGAAATCGCTCTATTTTATTGCATTGTAAATCTAGACTCGTTAATAATGTAAGCCGCATCGGCAACCGTTTACTTTCGATCGTAGCAATATTTAACGTCCAAATAAAGTACACGTTCTGAATTTTTATTATTCACGAAACTGGTGTATGTATTTTATCATTTTCCTATCTAGTTGCTGTTTTGCGCGAAAACCACCCAGTATATTAGGAATGCGAAATATAAATGTGCGCTTGTATAGAATTTCGAACTCAATGTTGAACCAGTAGATTTTGTTAGTCGTAATATTAACTTCTTTGGGAACGGTCTCACTAGTTGTTAACGACGTTTGAAACGAACTGAATACTTATGATATTAGAGAAATAAATGGATTTAAGTAGATAAGAGGACTATTTTAAAAATCAAACATTCATTAACTTTAATGATTAAGTATTAGACAAAGGAATTGACTAAAAGAGTAAATGTACATAGAAATATATCACTAATTAGATAGAGTAGTAACAAAACTATTTTTTTTCGCTATAAATGATCGGAATCAGCGCCGGTAACGTCTGTGATTTACATCCACCCGAAGATCTGTTAAAACCCTTATTTTCAATTGAATTAATAACAGAACCAATGTAAACATGAACAACTTTGGAAAAGTTTTCATTAATAGAATCTTTATCAGTGTTCTCCACTATTAACAGCGTGTTTTAAGTTAATTACTTAATGAGTGAAGACCATTTTCGTCTATACAGACTAGACTGCAGACCCTTCAGGTACGACAGTCGAAGTCAAAAACTGAGTTTTTCACGCAAACCGCCAATTTAAAAGGTTTCCTTAAAACAAATCATTTCGAAATTACAACACATTCCGCATGTTTTCTTGCCGTTTTGTAACCCGAAATAAAATATGTAAAATAAAACATAATTTGGCTTTAAAGGCAAAGTAACGTTTTGGTTGTGATATCCTGAATGAAACTGGAAATCGATTTTAATAGCGACAAAAACCAATTACAAATGATGTAAAATTGTAAATAAAATGTAAAAAGATATAAAAACTATTATGATTATATACTCATGTCTAGTCCACAAAGTCAATTCTATTGAAGAAATATTATTCTGACTAATCTTTATGAACATGCATTCTAGCCCAAAAAAATAAGGACAATCTCAAAACAATGACGTAAAATATACAGTTGTTGCCAGTTCAAAAACTGGTTTATTGTTAAACATAAAAAACAAACTATTCTTTCTGCATGGTTATACTTTACTTATATTTTTTCGAGAAACCGCGTATGCCACGGAAAATAATTAAGATCTAATGGTTTTGTTAACGTTTTAGCCCATACAGAGGTTTTCATAAAATCAGTAACAAAAAATCTTTCGATACAGCTGCAACTTAAGAAAACATATTGTATATACAAGATAGTCCAATTTTAATGCGCGAAACTTTACGGGTATTTTCGGACCATCCTGTATAAACTTTTGATAATCAGCATGATTGGACAGAATAATAGCCAGCTGTTGGTTTAATAATAATGAGAGATATTTTAACTAAAGTTATGTAATGCGATAATCCGGGCTGAGAATCCGTAGGACCAACTAAGAATTCACCACAAAAAAGTGCAATGATGTAATGCAATCGTTATCTAATCCTCGCATATCAATAAATACGGTTGTTTGTAGTAAGAAATGGAATTTGAAATGCATTGCCATTTTAGTCAACCACAAACAAGCGAGAAAATATTCTCAGCCCCGAGCATCCGATAGACTCTTATCATTTTGAAACATTAATAGGATTAATAAACTATTGTAAAACGTTGGAAGAAATATATTATGTTGATAAAAAAATCGAACTTTTAAATACCGCAAAGTTGCAATAAAAATTACCACTCACTCACCTAGAAGCATTAAGGACATTTGCGAAAACATGCAAAAAAGCTTAAAAATATGTCTAATGACCTGTTCAAATCCCCTAGTTCTTGCATGAAAGGACCGGAAAATTAGTTTCTGACCCGGTTAAAGTCAATAGCCGGGATTGATTAAAGATTAACTTACCTGCTCAAAACCGCCTAAAATGTCCGTTGTATCCATCGCTGAAGTCACCGGCAAAGTTTTCAAAGTTTTTCCGGCAAGATTAGCCAAAGTTTTAACCACGCTGCTTTTGCCAACGCCCGAGTTACCGACCTGAAGTTAAAAAAAAAACCTTAACCACTATTAAAGATTGAGGAAAGTTTTCCAGCCAACTTTCCAAACCCGAAATTGCCATTTATTGGATATTAAAGTTTGGTAATATGTTTTTGTTTGAAATGATTTTTTTCATATTTCAAAATGTGCTTACCAATATTGCCATCCAGTTTTGGTTGACGCAGTAGCTTAAGCTCCGTAAAGTACTCAGCTGTTCTCGCAGAATTAATTGACCCTGGTTTTGAGACAAATCGTGGTTTTTCAGATGGTCCTGCTCCCTTTTCAGCTCCACATCGCCAAAATGAACTGTCTCTTCCTCAATATAACTCATCGGCTTTGATCCCTTGATAGAGCGGCCGAAGACTTCTTGGAAGATGCGCTCCACTTGAGCCTTATCAACAACACTTCGCATTCGATCCACATAGATTAACTGAACTGTGCTTTCCGGACTTATCGCTCGATCCTCACAAGGATTGTGATCAAAGTGGTAAAGAGTCGCTTGGCACCAACGCGTCAAATCACGCAGATTACACTCCCACGGACCACCCTTATTGCCAAACAAATGCTGGTCAAGTTCGCCAGCCAATATATAGTTAAATTCGATCATATTCTTGATTGTTTCGTTGGCAATGTTTGGGAATTGGTTGCCCAGAATCACTTCCATGTCTTCTGGAGCGAATGGACTCACGTAGACTTGAATGAATCGATTAAGGAACGACTTTGGAAGACCACGACGGGACCCTCCTTGTTTCATGGGATTTTGGCAGGCGAAAAATCTAGTACCTGAAACAATAACAAGAATTAGAGATTTCTTAAATTTTACCTAAAAATGTTCACCGAAATCAAATAATTAACTTAAAAAAAACTGAATCAACGGTTTTAGCCTGTTATACTTAGTGGCATACTCAGAATGTTTTCTTCGTTTTGCATGTTGGAGAAAATTTGGATTTTCGTTAATAATTGATCTGAGTTTTGAAAAAATCATCACCGGCTTTTCCTGGATTTGATTGCAAAAAAATCTATGTAAATTGGGCAAAATTCTGTGTTTGAACCAATTAATTTTGTTAACAAAAAGCAAAAAACAAGCTTTATTATGCTTGCAAAAAAACATTCTTATAAGACAAGATACGCTCTTATTGCCGAGACGGGTACACATATACTATACTATATTGGGTTTTTGTACCTCAAATTTCAAACTAATGTAGGAAATAATGAAAAACGCACTCTTCCTTGCAAATCATTAGCAGTGAAGCGCGAAAAAAAACTCACCAGTTTTTACATGAAACGTTTTCCCCAATTCTGGAATGAAAATTTCTCCTCTATGGTCCAAACAAGCGTTCAGCCCTTCCAGAACCGACTGCGAGGCAAGATTTAGTTCGTCCAGCAAAATCCAGCTGCCTTCTTTGAGGGCTTGGAGAAGTGGACCGTCTTTCCAGGAAAATTGACCTCCAGTGCCACCCTCAACTGGAAGATCGGCTCCGAATAAGTCAGAGATATCCTAAAATAAATTGAAAAATTGCTTTTGACCCTGTTGTGTGGAACTGATAACCGAGTTTATTGTGATTTTTCTCTTAATTATTTGAAAAATACGGCAAAAATGGGTCACTGTTCACAGTCGATGGGTGAACATGGTCAAGGTTTTTTAAAGTGTTTCTTGATGATGAGCTAAAAATATCAGACGCCTGACAAGGCGCATTTCTACCCTAATTTTCTGGTCCCAAAATACTTTTATTTCATTTTACAATCTCTTCGACTTGAATTTGCCACGGAAAATTTATAAACATTTTCAAATGCAAATTACAAAACTACTCACAGTTTGGTCAGATAAATTTACACGGAAAATCCGGTGCCCTGAACACTTAGCAAGGGCTGTAACCAGACTAGTCTTTCCAACTCCTGGACTTCCCTCCAGCAAAATAGCCTTATTCAACTGCATCCCTCTTAACAGATTTAACGTGTTCGCTACTGTGGTCGGAGCCTCGAATGAAAACATGTCTTCTACAAGTGGTTCTTCGCCCAAAGCGATAAAGAAGGGCGTAATACCGAACTGGGAATTGTTGGAAATAACTTTGCTTGATCCGGATTCTAATTCCGGTACGTTTTCAGCTACTTGAGCATTGAGCATTTTTTCGCAAGCGTACTTAAAGGCTCTCAAAGAGGATGTTCTGAAATAAAGTGACTGTGAAAAGATTATGTTGAATTATTACAAACAATATCGTACTTTTCAGTGCTTGTAGCACCCGATCCCATGCTGTCCAAGAATACCAAGCGGGCACCATGTATGTAGGCTTCATATGGAGTCATTTGCGCAGAACATTGATTTACAAAATTGACCCACGTTAAAATGTCTCGTATGCTAATGGTATATCTGAAAGAATCGTTTAAACAGGTCAAGAAAAAATTCGACTACTCCGCTGAAGATAACACCTTTTACCAATCTCCGTGCTCCTGAACCATTCAATGAAATCCATCATTTTTGAACCAAAATCGCACTCAGAACTAATGGTTAAATTCCTGTTGATAATCAGTATCAGATCTCCTCTGTCTGTACAAGAATCACACCAGATCTCCGTGAAGCGATTTCGTAAGGCCGGAGATAATTCCTTTTTGCCAAAATCACCGCCTGGATTCATGGTGCCGATAAACACAAAATCTGCATGAGCTACAACTGTTTCGGAATTATTGGGATTGTTCAAGTCAATGGCTTTTTCAGCCAAGAGTAAAGTCCTTTCTGGTTCTAAAAATAATATCAGTGATTAATTTGTAAATTGAGGATAGTTTGAGATTCTTGCGTACCCAGTAGCGAATTGAGCCTTTCCAAAACACTATCATCAGCCAGTGATATTTCATCAGCCAGAAAAACGTTTCCCTTCAGCATGGCGACTAATAGCAGCCCGTCTACCCATTCAAACAGTGCCTTTTTCTGCAAATAACAATCGTTAAAAATTTCAAGACAATTGATGATTAAGAATTATGTTGCTGTACATCTGAATGCTCTCTAACTGGTCTCAAGCCTCCAATAAAATCACTGCTTTCGGTATGCATGTGGCAATTAACAGCGGCTAATTCCTGTCCGTTGTTTTCTGCAATGAGCTGACAAATCGTGGTTTTTCCACCGCCAGTTTCACCAACCAGCAAAACCGGCTCTTTGAACTCTAAAGCCTTCGCAACTAGAACTGCTAACTTTCGCATATTGAATGTCCAAACAATGTTGGGATATTTCGAACTATTTTCCTCCAGTTTTTGCAGAATGTGCTTTGTAACAGGGGATGTTTTCTCATGTACTACAAACAAACGTAACGTAAAATTGGCTATTGACTGCGAAAAAATAAAGCTACCCTTACAGGAAAACAGATTATTCAAGCAGACTTCTCTTTGCCAGTGTTTCTGTAAAGCTTCACAAATCTCCTTTCTTTCATCCTCTTTTCTCACTTTTCCAGCTAGCACCAAATAGCCTTCATCGACCAAATGCTGATTCCAATCGTGTAGATTTGACGATATCTGGGCAAGCCGATATCTATCGCCCCATCTGAATAGGTCTCTTAACGTTATAAAGCCTTGTTTGCCAGCAAAAGCAGCTGACCCTCGTCTACGAAGCTTTATTAGCAAAAAAAAATGTTGTTATAATGAGAAAACCTTGAGAATTAAACAAAATGTTTGAGAATTGAAATGAAAAATTGTTCTACGTTCGGTATTATGAATGAATAGCAAGAAATACTCATTGCATTACACAAAAATATATACATTTGTAACACGTCGTGTATGAATATTTGCGCTTTCCCTTATGTAAAATGTATTCTCTTACTTGCAGTTCAGTCATCACTTTGATCATTCGTTGCGCATAACTCGGTGGCATAACGCATCGGTTGTGCAAAATGGTCTCTAGCTCATCAGCAGGAATTTCGTTGAAATGCAGTTCGACAAATCGGTTTCTAAAAGCTCTGGATAACATTTTGCGACCCCCGTAAGCACCGGGGGGATTCTGGGTTGCAAACAGCATAAAATTAGGGTCAGCCGTTACAGTTTCCTGTGTCTCTGGTATAAACAACTCCCTGTTGTCATCCAGAACTCGATTTAGGGCTTCCAAAACCTCGGTAGGAGCCAAATTTAACTCATCCAGGATTATCCAATGTCCCTTTCGCATTGCCTCAACCAAAACTCCTTCGCGGAACACTAATTTCCCATAGGCATCGGCCACATATGAACCAATGTATTCTTGGAGGTCTGTATGTTCATGATTATTGATCCTGACACATTTGTTGCCGCTTGATTTGGCTAGGTAGGTGATAAGACTGGTTTTGCCTACCGATGTATCCCCCTAAACACGGATTTTGTTAGTACGAATCAACAAGGGGCAAGAGGTTTCTTACCTGTAATAACACTGGCAATTTGCCAATAGATACAACTCTAACAAGATCTTTCAAATTTTTCCTCACAGACTTGGTTAAAATGTAGTTTTCGGGACTTTGCGGCTCCAAAGAACCTTTCTTTATCCAATAGTCTTCAAATTGAAGAAAACTGCAGTCAGCTTCTTTCGGTTCCAAAATTGGCTGATTGAGAACAGATTTGAGCTGCTGTTTCTCAGTGCTAACTATATATCTGAAAAACGATTTGGTAAAATGAGTACATTCATGGCAAAGCCAAAAACTTACGTGGTGATTAAATCTTGGACTGCTATATACGAATCAGCGTCCAGCTGGGTCAAAAAACTCAGACAAAAAGCTTCGTACAAACTCCTCTTCATATTCCCGCAGGGGTTTTTAGAGGCAATCATCAAAGCTCGGCATAGAGAGCGCAGGGAAAAGTGTGGCTTATGACCCATCCCATCACTTAGCGACAACACCATTTCAGCTCTAACTTTCAAATAAAAATCCACGATCCTGGAAACAACCGTCTCATTTAAGCAGGCGGCTTGTAGATAACTGTTAACCAGGAGTATTAAATCGGACTTTTCCGTTAGTTCTTGGACGAAAAATTCGGTAAACCGGTTTCGAAGGCCTACGGGAAGGTCTTTTTTCCCAACATTTGTAGCAGGATTCATGCAGGCAAACAGTGTAAAGTTTTGGTGTCGCTTTACTGGCTTTTTGTCTCCCCGCTCTAGCAGGCACAACGAACCGGATGAATCTTCCAATAACCCTAGACGAAAAATATTCAATAAAACAGTCGAACTTTGCAGTTAAAACCCAATTACCTGACAAACACTCCAATGTTTCAGCATTCGCAAGATTGATTTCATCCAAAAGCACCCAAGATCCTTCCTGAACCGCTTTCACTAAACTGCCTTCGATAAACGCGAAGAAAAGAGCGTTACTATGCTTCATTTGTGCCTCCACTTTTCTCAGCTTCTCACTGATGGTTTGCCATTTTACAAAGAGGCACTCGTCCCGTTGTTTCTTGATTGCCTCAGAAGCCTCTTCCAGTGAGCCAGTTATCCGTTTCAGAGCTGCTGCGGTACTCTTTTTCATGAAAGAAACCAAGTAGGAATATTTTTGTTTGTTGAAGGCGAAAGCCACCTTTTTGAGGAACTCTTTGTTTGCTTCTGTGTCGAAGAATTCTCTAAATGCTGCTTCAAAATCCCTTCTCAAGGGACCGAGAATTATCTTCAAATCAATTGGTTTAAAGCCTCCCAGTAGATCTGCAGAATCCGATTGCTGGTTCATATTGATCACAATCAGTTTCTTTCCTAAAGTGCGAGCCAAATACTGTATGGAGGACGTTTTTCCGGTGCCTGTTTCGCCAACTAGCAAAACTGGTTCTTTTAGCATCACGCAACACATAATGCGCTCCAATAAAACAGCCGCCGGTCTGGTAAAGCAAAACTGGGCCTGTTTGCTGTACGTGGAGTGTTCTCTAGCCAAAGTCGCGCGTCCTGAGACAAAGCTGTGAGTATTAAGCCTCACAGTGGGTTTGTAGTTTTTGAAGAAATATTCTGCCTTATGGATAATTATTCCCAAATGAGAACTGATGTTTTTGGCTAAATTAAGGGAATCTTCCACATCAGGCAGCGAGCAGCAGAACACATCAATTGCATCCTGCAAAATCTTAAGGGCACTTTCTTGACTTTTTACATCGTAATCTATCGCCGCTCTTGAGCACCATTTGAAAAAGTCTCTCGTCGATATCAATCTGCCGCGCTTATGGGGTGATAAAATTTCGTCACTGTTTGCATTGGAAAAAAGCTGAAACACTTTCACTAGCCTTTCAGCCACTGTATCAAATTGGGCATATTTTCGATGAAGAATATTCTTCAACTCAGCGCCGGTTAAGGGATCGATAGTAATTTTCAGAAGTTGCTTATCTAATAACTGCATAGCGTTTGAGTAACGTTTCTGATGTTGTCCAGTGACTGTGGTGGTTACTCTGCAAAAAAACATTTAATATTGTCTGAAGACTTACTTATAATATAACGCGGTAGGCTGGATAAAATATTTCTATTTCCGTAGAAAATGTGCCTTTCGTTGCCTTTTTCTAGTTATTTTTAGTAATATTGTGCACTTCGCTTATTAGCAGGTTTTCTAGTTTATTCAGCAAGTTTTGTCCAAAACGGCTAGACACAAACAATCGCAATAAAATAGAAATTTTTTTAAGTTTAAAATTCCAAACGTCCGTGTTTAGATTCGTCATCAACAAAAATATCCGTTACAAAACCCCATTTGTTATTGAAAATGTTTAAAATACACAGAAATGCAAAATAGTACCGGTGCATGCAAGGGCATCAGTTCTAAAAGAATTTACCTTTGCGTTAAGAACAGTTGAAACCCTGGTGGAACTAGAACCAAATCCCTGTAACCCGGTACAGTTAGTGCTTTGTTTTCCAACAAACTCGCCAAAACAGACGCTATATCCATACTAGACAAGTCGATGTCTTCCAAAAGCAACCAGCTTCCTTGAAGAACCGCCTACAGATGAAAAAAATACATATAACATTCCATGCCTTCATTAATCAAGAATTAATCCAACCTGCGTTAACACTCCAGGTTGCCAAATGAATTCCCCAGGAGTATCGGTGCACCTGTAGGTCCCCAGTAGCATTTTGCTGTCTGTTTGATCTCCCAGTTGAACTTTGATGAAATTTTCTCCCAGTTGTCGACCAGTACAAGCCGCTAGATGTTCCACTAATCCAGTTTTGCCACAACCAACGGGGCCTTGAAGACACAAAGCCCTGCCTGAAGAAAGGCCAAGGGCGATTTTTCGCAAATTGTTAAAAGTTGAAGGAACTTCAAATAATAGCATCTTTTTGGGGCCATCCAGGGATGGAATATAGATGCCTGCTATTTTCTCAACTCCACCAATGGTTTTAGTTTTGAAGGGAATGGGAGGCTTCTGGTCCAAGGAATGTGAGTCCTGTGGGTGTCTAGTAAAACTCGAGTCCCTATCAAATTCTATGCTGAGCCTTAATATGTCCTCCTGGCTTAGCCTTTGGGCTAGCAAAGCTTTTAAGTCTGATTCCTTTAGGTTTAACACAATTCCAATGATATGACAAGACAGCCTATTGTAATGGAGTATCTATTAGTGAATGTAGGTTTGAAAACTATTCCGAAGCTTACCAAACAACGTGGCTGTCGCTGGATATAGAGTAGCTTTTGATGAAACCACTCCACTTCCATTTCTGCTTGTAAAACTTCGGATCACTCAGTAGGAGAAAGTAGCAAGCTTCAACAACATCTACGTCTCGGACGAACACGTTTTCAGCAACAGCAAATTTACTTCTCTTCGACTTAAAGGTGGTTGTGCTGGATTCTTCGAATGGCGATGAGTGTAATTCGAAATACTTTAAAGCAAAGCTGAAACATACATAGAAGTTAAAGCTACACAGAGTACTTGGTACTTAAATCATACCTTTTCAGGTCTGCCCTGGCTTTAACTGACTTTGACAGCAGAATGCAATTAACTATATGCCTTGGCTGGTTAAAGGGGTATTCGTTAGTGAAGGTTATTGCTGTTGAAAGCAACTTGGGGAATTCGTTGGCAAAATGCTCCAAAATCGACTCAAAGTGTTGGGGATGAATTAGAACCTCGTTGGCAATAAAATTCAGCAAACACTTAATCTTTTCTGATGCCTTCCAACTTTTCTTTGCTTCCACTACCTGAAAACAAAATTATAGAAAAACGTGCAACTTCAAGTCCTGCTATTTACCTTAAAAAATTGTCCGAATTTCTCGTTCATTGTACTGAACTCCTGCAGTTTGTGCTGCATTTTGGCAAGATCTTCTATTTTTAGAAAATAAGTTAGAAATACACATACGGTCGCAAGACTTTAATGTTTTCAAACATGCACTTTTTGAATTTAGGTTCAAATGTGGTGCTATAACCCAAAAATACAAGAGGTATAACCTGAAAAATCTTCTTTCACGAAGCCATCTATCTCCATTAATTTGTGATTATAATCAACGTTGCCAGGTCAAGAACTATGGAAGCGGTTAAATAGAAGTAAACAACGGTATACTTAAAAATGAAACAGTAGATAATTTAACGTTTGTAAATATACTTTTGCGAAAAGACGCTTTTGAACAAAATGTTTTATATTAATACCTAATTTATTTGAAATAAAAAGGAAAATAATTATTCCTTTGAACATAAGTTTTACCTGACATAAAGATGGTCATATTTTTTTAAATATATCCTATCTTTATTAAAGAAAACCGCGCACTCTTATTGGACTGGAAAATTACCTAAAATGTATTGGGAATTAATTTCAACATTTTTACCGAGACGATCAAAAAAACATCACTACTCACTGACGGATAAATTATAACAAGTTTCACGTTGAGAAGAAACGTGCTTTGCAAGTAAAATTCATATAGGTTATGTTAACTTTTTTTTGTGTTTGAAACATTTAATCCGAAAAGACTAAAATACTTAAAATACTGTAAGTATGGCTGTAGATAAATCGCAGTCTCATAGGGCTGGTGTCTTTAAACAGACGAATAAAGAGCATAAGCATGGAAAGCACAGGTCAAAAGGGGCTCTAGATGACGCTGCTAAAGGTAGGTCCATCGTTAAGCTCTTTAACATTAAACTGATTGAAGCTATTGCGATTAGGAAAAGTGTCTGTAAAAAACGCAGTCAGAAGGCAAAAAGGCGACCTTACTAGAGACCAGCGGCGTAACCAATCTGCCCAAATACGGCAAAAGAAGCGCGAAGAAATACTAGCAAAAAAACGTGCTCTGGGAGGATATGAGGCATCGCCATTTCTTATCGCTGTTTTACCATTGAATAGGGAATTCGATCCTACTACGGCTATAACAATCCTGTGTCAATGCGATGAAGGTGCCATTATAAGAAAAACATCAACTGGAGTAACCCACATTTGGTATGCAATAGGAACTCATTCGTCGATTAACTTTCACACGTAGTTATTTTTCAGCCTACCACGGTTTAAGAAGAGATTTTCTTTCGTTGTTCCAGCTAATGACAATGAACTTGATGTTATTGATACTTTGAAAGTAGCTGATCAAGTTTTATTCTTACTATCTGCCATCAATGGAACGGAATTTATTGAGCAAATTGTCGATCAATGGGGCAAGAAGATACTCAAATCCGGCTTGGCACAAGTACGCAAATCTTCAAATTCAAATTAGTATCAACAGGTTGATTTTTTGCTTTTTCTAGGGCTTGCCAACGCCAATTGTAGCTCTCGCAGACCTTGATAGTGTAGCTCCAAAAAAACGAGCAGACTTCAAACTAGGTGTACAAAAAATGGTCACCAGCTGGCTGCCTAAGGAGAAACTAATGGTTTTGGATCGGAACTGCGATGGCATAAATATTTTGCGCAGACTTGGTGACCAAAAGAGGAAAACTATTTTATATAGAGACCACAGGCCTTATGTGTTAGGGGAAGAGCTTGAATACATACAAGACGATCAAGGTATCTCAATCTCCCATTCAAGTTTCGTTCATCCACTACTTGGACTTGTTGCAATCTAGGTTCAATGGGCACTTTAAAAGTCACAGGATATTTGAAAGGGGCGACGTTATCTGTGAATCAATTAGTTCACATTCCTGGTTTAGGAGACTTCCAATTGGCTCAAGTAGATGCAGTTACCGATCCGAATAACCTGGAAAAACACAAGTACAGTTGCTTTCATTTAACTAAGTATGTTTACTTACTGTGAGAAACATTCCAGGTGTAGAGATGCGAATGGTGCGGAAATTATAAAAGTCCACGTTCTAGAGGTGTGCGATCCTACTAAGCAGGAGTCATTGGACTTATACATGTCCGATGCTATGGATGTGGACAATGATATGCTGCCTAGCGAATTGCACGTTGATACGGCCGATCAGAACGCGAAGGTAAATTGTAAGCCTTAGTTAACACTTAGACAACTTAACTTAACAGTTAACACTAGACTGAAGAACTTGGGGAAAATTTGGGAATGTGCACTTGAAGTGCCAGTGTGGTGGAGCAAAACATGCTCTTTCCACCCTCTTGGTGCACATTTGCGTGACTTCTAGTTGGAGCACTATGAATTTTTAAGTTCAACCATGTTTTTCAAACCAGAAAAATTCACCATTCAAATTTTTTTCTTGTTAGGCAGAGACCTCCAAACCGAAACCCGAAGGATGGTCAGACTATCAAGCTGCTTGGATTCCAGATGACGACACCGAGTTTCAACAAGATGGAATCAGCGAAAGCGATACTGAAAGTGAAGGTGAAATGATGGATGCTAGATCAGAAGATCGATCTTCCTGTGCAGATGAAGATAGTGACGGTGATTCGCCCACAGGGTCCGGTAGGTAGCATCTTTTAAATTGGTCGAAAAACTCACCAGTTGATTACTCTTCATTGATCTATCTGGTTTAGCTCGAAAATAATTGAAATAAAATAAAAAAACAATTGTATTGCTTCATTTTAGAAATAGATGTGAACGATGATAAATACGATAACGGTATGGACCTGAACATGGAACAACAAGATTTGGAGAAATTGAAAGCCGCAAAAGCTGATCTTATATTTCCCGACGAGATTGATACACCACACGGTGTGCTAGCCAGAGATAGGTTCCGAAAATACCGGGCATTGGAGAGCTTTAGGTATGGTGCAATGGTAGACGTTGAAACAAACTTGTATTGATTGCGAAAAATTGCAGATCGTCGCCTTGGGATCCCCTAGAAAACTTGCCAAATGATTATTCCAGGATTTGTCAGTTTAAAAATTTTGCGCACGCAAAGAAGAGTGTTTTTAAAGAAGATGAAAAAAAACCTGGGGCTATGGTGAGTGTTTATTTTTCAGTTTTTCACTATTGAAATTTATAAACAATTGCAGCCTGGTTTGTACTTAACAGTGCACGTGAAAAATGTATCCCAACTGATGTGGTCTGCTTTTGAGAAAACCCGCTCTCCAGTAATTTTATCAGGACTATTTCCTCACGAGCACAAAATGTCTATCTGTAATGTAGTTTTAAGGCGAACACCAAACTATGGAGGCGCAATAAAGTCAAAGGATAGACTAATTTTCCAGTGTGGTTTTAGACGGTTTATGGTTAATCCGATATTTAGCCAACACACAAATGGAACAAAACACAAGGTAATTCCATTCGGTTGTAATTAAACCTTTGCTTATTCTTCGATTTTAGTTTGAGCGTTATTTCCAAATCGACGAAACTACTGTGGCCACATTCTATGCCCCCGTCCAGTTTCCACCGGCACCAGTATTATGCTACAAGGAAGTTTTGGGAACTCTGGTTTTAGTGGCCACAGGTAGTTTATTGTCTTGCGATTCCACTAGATTGATCATTAAACGAACCGTTTTATCAGGTACGATTTTGGTGAAAAGTCTGATTTATTTACATTAACGTACATTGTTTTCTTTAGGCCATCCGTTTAAAATTTTCAAGAAATCAGCCATCATTCGGTTCATGTTCTTCGACAGGCAAGATATTATGCACTTTAAACCCTGTAGACTTGTAACCAAGATGGGACGCAGGGGACACATTATGGAACCTTTAGGTAAGTTTTTTTTTATTTGGAACCGATAAAAAAGTTTCATATCCAAAAAAATATTTTATTTCAACAATGTTTTAAAACGACCTTTTGCTTTATCAATTACTTCATGTCAATATTTCCCGTGATGTGGATTAATACTTTTTTAAAAAGTTTTATGAACATTAGCAAATAAAACGTTTTCTATTCTATGTTGACTGGAATTCATAAACTCAATGTAATTTCGAATGTATAATTATTTAGGAACTCATGGCCATATGAAATGTATATTCGATGGGCAGCTAAAGTCACAAGATACCGTATTACTGAATCTTTACAAGCGCGTTTTTCCTAAATGGACGTATGAAGACCTGATAGTGACCTGTGAGAACCAACCGATGAATATGGAGACTTCATGATTTAGAACAAAAATCAGTACGTATATAAATACGTATTACGTGAGAAAATATGGATTACCTTCCATATTTTCTCGATTGGTTGTTGTAAGTGTATGTAATTAGCATTTATTTGTAAACATAAATAGATAATTAAATTTATCATCTTTTTACAATAGAACTTTGGTACTATGACTTATATTAGTAAGGATTGTACAAAAAAGTCGACTCTATTAAAGGCAAACAATTTTTAATTAATAAAAATACATTTGATGGTAAAAAACATTAAATGGATTTATTTATAATTAAAATACACCTAAAATAGCATTTAATATCGAACAAAGCCGCTAGGGTTGTTAGGAGAACAAAGAGTATTTACAACAGACTACACAGAGAGCGACATAAAAGTTCCTAGGGAAAAAATATAAAATATACTGTCAATCGTTCCAGTATCAAAACCGTACATCTAACATAAGTATAATACATATTCACAGCTATCACAGAATGAATTTGTTTAAACTGAGTGGAAAGTTTTATTGCTTGTACAGTCAACGGAACTCTAAATTCGAGTAAAAGTGGTTCTTCTAACTGAATTTTTTTTTTTAACTGTAGGTACTTAATAATTGCTGTTTATTTAGCGTTCAACTTAGAGGGCCGGTGACTGACAATATTTTACTCCTTTATGTCGCTCTCTGGTGCCGGTTTCATGCTAAACCCTTTATCCGGATGTGCTTGATAGTTCATCATCCTAAATTTTCCTTCGTTGTCGTAGTAGCCGAACTGGCCCTTGACTATCCCTTCTTTGTCTCTCTCCTCAAATCTGAATTGTCGGTTTTGCCTGAAAAACCAGTGGATAAGAAAGCGCATGTGATTTGTGCGAAAGCTTTAATATTTTTCGGTAATTGACTGGTTACATAACGTTCTACTAGTTTAAATAGTTAGTCACCGATATTGCCAAGTTGTTGTATGATTTTTTTGGTCGTCAAGTGCTAAATCTAACTGAAAAATGTTACCCTTTGCCAGTATCATATCCCCATTTGTAGCTCATGGGCCCGTCCTGCCCCACCATGTGGAATAGCAGACGTTCCCCATCTTCCCCATGATTAGTCGAAATTCCCAGTGAGTCAGTTATTTGAGGCGAAAGTCCCCTGCTAAATTTGTTAGGATCATACTGTCCTCTATTGTGCTCATAACTCGAATCTGAACTAACAGAGTCGCTAATTTTCGGAACTGTCCCCTTTTTTACGTGTGTAGATGGTTTGAGTTTCGTCTCGCGGGTTGTACTGTCGATAGGTCGTGTCTTACTACTCCGAATCTTTAATGGTTTAACACTAGTTCTAGGTACCTTTTCCTTTTCAACCTCCTTTGTGTTTTCCTTTTTATTTAACTTCTCGATAGTTTTGTACAGATCCTTTTGCTTTTGCACAAACAACGATTCACTAATGGGTTCTAGGGCGATTTCTTGTTTCGGCAGTAAAGACAAAGGCTTGCCCTTACTGTGAACCTCCTTGTTGAATTTCTTCGGGAATTCATTAGTCGGTGTGTTCTCTTTGGTTATAACTGGGGGCAATTCGTAGTAGAGAGTCGGATCGTTATTTGGGTTCCAAAGACTTTGCGTGGGTGCGGTGAGAAACTCAGATGGTATGGGAACCTGGTAAAAGTTGGGCTGGGGGTTGGAGGTGAATGCAGGCGGTGCACTTAAGTAGGAAATGGGTTGCGGCTGGAAAAATGGTATGCTGGACTCTTGACGAGGCAACTGAATTGTAAGGGGAAGTTGTTCAGGAAGACTTTGTACTGCTGATGAATCGAAAGTTTCCACATTGCTTTCCGTTGGGGTTGCGGCTTTTGCGCTCTCAACTGCCGCAGAGGCGGCCAGAGTTGCAAAGGCAACTACAGTCACCTGAAAAATATTGCTATTGATAAAAAAATCCAACATCTCTTATACTTTCGTGAATAGAACCAATAGGATGTGAAAGTTGATAAGCCCAATTAATCTTTCCCTTGCAAAGGTGGAACTGATTTACTCATAGAAGCACTTGAAGTGTTTTTTGCGTGTGTTCGGAAATGCTTCGGTTTGAAGATATAAAACGGGTTTCTATATCTTTTTGTTACGGAATTAGCTGACTAACTTTGAGAATTGACAAAAATCCGGAGTTTTTAAATGAGAGCGTGAAATTGGACAAGTTTAAGTTCATTTTTTATGGTCGTGCCTTGATTGAGAAAAAAATGGATTTTGAATGAGTTAAGTGGAGACTTCAGAGTTTTCTGCCCTAAATATTTTCGCTTAGATTTGTAAATTTCAAGTTGCTACAGATTGGATGTTATGAAGAGCGTGTAGTTGGACGAGTGTGTTCACTTCTGATCGTACATTTACAGAGTTGGCAAAACCAGAATTTTGCATGATGATGATTGAAAATTATGATTTTTTTTACAAGCCCGTGCAATTAAACGCATATAACGATTTTGATCCTGCATTTACAGAGTTGGCAAAATTCAGGTTTTTTGTATTATTAGCCACACAAATTTGGTCCAATAAAAATAACAACTTGTAAACACTTTACAATTCCATTCATGCACAGGAGTCCATAAAACAGATAAATTATCAGCCATTCAAATGCGATGGAGATCCATCTGCGTCGTTATTGCTAATGACGCCTTAGTGGTGCTTAATTTGGAAGCCAACAATACTATGTTTAGCATTCTAAGATAAAATCGCCTCCTTTACGCTTTGTCGTTAATGTATTATTCATTTAATATAAACGACCTTCTGAGTCGAATGGTTGTGTCCTAACAGGTTCGACCATAAAGTCTTAATTCTTCACGCTACTTGAATAATTGCAATATTTACAAACGTTTGCATTTTTTATCCACGTGCGGAATTCATAGACTAGAAATCTACATGCACGAGAAGTACTCATTGTACTTTGGCCTTGTTGATTGCTAGATAATTTCTTATAGAAATAAGGAAATAGTTCCATTGGATTGAAGAGCAAACCGGATAAATTATCGTAAATTTTACATGTTGCATGTGTATGGATATAGAACAAGAAAAAGCGTCAAAAATTAATAAAAGCAAAACCACACTGTTTCCATATAAAATCAACAAATAGAACTTCTCACGTAAAACTAAATTCGAAAAGAAAGCAGAGCTAAATACCATCGATTAGCCAAACTTTGTCATCTCTGTTTGTGCTTTATAAATATATTACTTATAAAATTATTAATACATTAGAGTCCACGGACGGTAATGTATTTATGGTGCTGAGCCCTTTGGGCACGGCACTAGTCCGAATGCAAAAAAATATGTTTCCGTGCTAAACTATTGGATTCAGTGAAAGGAAGCTATCGAATCATCACTTAGTAGACCTTATATATAATAGTTGAGAAATTGATGGAGATTAATAAACCAATTGAGTAGAAAGTTGACCGGTTAAATCACTGGGCGGTTAACGATTGTTTTGTCAAAATAATGTCGTAGGTGCAAAGTGATCATCAACATTATGAAACACTCGAATAAATTTCGTTTAGAATTTTTTAAATCGCATGGGAAGCTTTTGCTGCACCCTGAAAAAACCACTCAACTACTGAGACATCAAAGAAATGGCGAAGTTACACAAGTTCCTGTCTGCTATCTTCAATAGAATGGAAATTTCTTGATTTGTCGAACCGTGTTCTTCCTGTATAGGGAAATGTATATGTTGAAAAGTGCTTTATATAATTGACTAATTACTAGAAGAAATTACCTTGCAACTGCAGCCCGATTTGTGCTAACAGCGGAAATATGGAAGTAGATTCAGGTTTGCATTATTTAATAGTAGCACACAATTAAAATACACTAAACTAGTTGATATCATGTAATACGCACGAAATAAAGCGATTATTATTACTTTCGCTTCGATTTAGTGACCAAAACAGTTTTGCTTGATTGATTCAATCATTCTAAACAAAGACTTTGGGTTTATGTAAGAATATACGTAGAGTGTTTCAATAAACTATGTGTAATCGAATAGGGAACTTTTCAAGGAAAAACCAATTAAAACTGGTGAGCTTTTCGGGTTTTTATGCCATTGGGACAAAAAAGCCTTACACATGGGAAGTTTTAAAATTCTTTGCCGAAAACGTTGCCTACTCTTTAACTTGGAATATTTTAACGATTAAAACGTTTAAGAAGAAAACTTACTTTTGTAAAATGTTGTATATAAAGAAATTTTACAAAAATGTTTTATTATGTGTGAGCGTAATTCGCCACAAGGAACGATAGTTGCATTGAATTTTCAATGTTCAGCCCTTCTAGAAAAAATTATAAATCCGAAGATCAACATTTTCAAAATTTGTTATTTGCTTGAAAAAATAAAGAGTGATTAAAGTTTTAATCGGAAATAGACCTAAGAAAAATTGTATCTAAACGGGACCCCAAACACTTTGTTTCAAAATTACGTAGCATGTATTAATTAAATATTTTGCAAATATCTCGAAAATTCTGGAAGGTGCGAACAAAACGCAGGACAAAAAAGTTCCTAAATTGAACTAGAAATTAAAAAAAATATATTTTCGGACTTCAGTGGCGCTTCCCAAAGATCGGGGTGATAAAAAAGGGGCATGACCCCTAAAAAATATCACTATGCACATTTTAGAATCATTCGACTCATTAGATAATGTAGAGGTCAAAACACACGCTGCTCCAAATTTGAGGTAATTGTCCAAAAAACTGCAAAAGCTGGAGCGAAAAAATGAAATAAACGATCAAATTTCAACACATGGACCAAAACTTTCGACTTATTTTTAATGAGAATGAAAATTCTGATCGAAAAGCACTTATTAATCAGAATATAAAAAGTAGAATATTTTTCAATCACTTTTAGGCAAATACCAAAAGTTGAACGTTTTGAATGCAGTGCACGACCAAAAGAAAAAAAAGGAGAAATCAAATCAGTCAATCAATTGAAACCCACATAGTTCAGAACTAGAATAGCGCACAACCACTGTGAAATAAGTCCTTAATAAAACCAAACCGACCCAAGTCCATTCACTCACCATTAAGATTGGCAAACTCATTTTATTTATTTTTTTTGTAAAGCACAGACAAAACCGCAAATAAAGTTTAGTGATATTGACTCGCCCGATTCAACGCGACAATCGCAACACTTTCTGTTGTTCTCTGTTTTAAATCGACGTGACTACCATTTCTCCTTTACATTGTTTGGGGGAATTACAACAAAGGCTGCTGAGTAAATCGAGTTTCGTGCTGTTTTAACAAATTGTAATCCAGGCCTAAGTTCTGGGTGAACATCTGGGCAAAACTTATCACGTAGAAAGTAATTATTAAACATTGTTTATAGTTAATTGCGGCTTACCTTGATGTGCTGTATACAACTGAAAAAAGTTGAATTTCCTCATTTCTTTGTCCCTTATTGGTTCCTGTATTTTCAGTTTTAAGCAGCTACGACTTCTGATAAAATGTTCAAAATGTTACTTACCTTCTTTTTTCTAAGTTAAGTCTATACTTATCACATTTTTTTGGAAATTTCGTAATCACTTTGTCTTTAAAACGGTTTATTTCGGCGATTAGTAATATGAAAAAAAAAACGCTTTTCGGATTTCACAACCAAAAGCATCTTTTTTATTTACAAGGTGTTCTCATAAAATTTAATTATTGGCCTTGTAGTGATAACATTTACCCCTTTAACAATTTAGAGCTCATTTGATGCATTTGTGAGCAGAAAATTTATCCTTGCATTTACTTCAAGGAAATTCAAAATGCATGTACGGGAAGCAACACAATCTCTTTGTAATGTGGCGCATGATGAAGAATATTTCTAGATATTCGGAAAACGTTCTTCCTGCATATTTTTCTCATAATGCAAAAAATCCCAAAAAACCGCCCTGATAAAATTCGATTAGTTAATAAGGAAAAAGCTGATTTGATGTAATTTTTGCGACAATATTTTAAGTTATTTGGTTTGCGGAAAAAAGTTGTACGCATGTGTATAAGAGCCCCTCAGAGCTAAAAAGGTCGTACTTTTCGCTCTTAATTATTTTTTGTGCGCTTATGCGACGGTTTGAAAAAAGATCAAGCATTTGAAGCTTGAAAAATCGAAAAAAATTGAAGCTTTTAGGAATATTGTATTTTGTGTCGGAATTTGTTTCTCCTAAAAACTTTGTAGAATTACAAAAAAGAACATCTGTGTGAAATTAATCAAATAAATCAAAATGCGATACATATAAAAACAAAACCACAATAATTCGTTAACGGTGTGAATAGACAAATATAGGCAAAACTGGCTCGCGGCAGAATTGCATAATTAATCAATAATAACTCGGATTATATCGTCGGTAATTCCAAATAAATTTAAACAGCTTTTTCAATTGCAAAAATAAACAAACCTTTTTCAGCAAACACTTTCACCGCGGAAAATGTGTGTATGGGTATTTGCTAATAACAATAACAGTCCTATATGGTTAAATAATAGTTGGTAAACTTTAAGGCGACGAAAAATTCGACTGAAAAAACCAAGGCCAGTAGACAAAAAATCCTTTTAAAAACACATAATTAACATTGTATAGAGGTAGCCAAATTAATTCGCTTTCTGCTGAAACCATCCTTTGTTAGATAAGACTTAAGAAGATAAAATAAATCTTCGAACCACAATTATTATATTTAAGTGTTATAGGCACTGGCTTATGGTAATGGCATAATGATTATAGTTCATAACAAAAACATCACGACTTTTGAACACGATGAAACTTGACCTTGTTTCTGTTTTTATATCCAAAGATAGGGATCTAATTACAGAACGAAGATATATGTAGGTTTAGAGATCTATTGCATAGATCGTAGTTGGGAGTTTGGGATAGCCAGTTGAGCGCAAATTGTTGGAATAGTTTACAAGCATTTCATAAACACCAGAAGTTTGTCATTGGCAAAACCAGTTCTTTCTCGCGCAACTAACAATATTGCTGAAAATAAATCTTATAATTTTCACAACTGCACAACTGAAAAGCCAGCCTTGTACGACAATTTGTTGAATTTCACCGCAAACACAATTTAATTATCAATGCATTTGCGTTATATAGGAAACTCGGTTTAATTTCAGTAATTTAACCGGCTCCTAAAGGGCAGAACCAATCGTTTTGCAGCATTGCGACATGAGTAAGTAAATGTACCAGAATTTCCCGTCTACTCAATGAAACATGTTTTTTTCTCTCAGTCAAAGCAAGTTGGTGTTACATCCACATAATACAAGGCTCAATATTCAAAAGAAGCAGTTCAGTATGCGAGTTATGATAATATTCGCAATATAAAAACGTTCTTTAATAAATCGATTAAAATATTTGAATGCATCGATTTGAGAATTGCAACGCCATAACCAAATCAAAAATTGAAGTGCGCTAGAAAACAAGCAACCATGAAAATTGTCACCGAAAGAATTCATATTATGCAAATTAAATCGACTGGTGGCAAGTGCGCAAAAATAAAAATCTTCCGGCGAATAAAAAAAGGATATAAAAAAGAAACTCTTTAGGTTTATGTAAATCTTGTCATATTTTTTCAGCCCATAGAGAACTCGTATGCGGCCGGATACTTTCCGGTAACGAACTCATATAAATTACACTCTAGATCGCCTAACAGGCCAGAAGCCCCGAATCTAAAGAGCTCAGCATCGAGCCAATCATTTCCTAGAAGCTCCTTTACCAAAACCATCCAGGACAACGCGTCTTTGGCATTTCTTACACCGCCTGCAGGTTTCAGACCCACCTAAAACAGCAAAGCAATAACAAATTTATCTGGATTCAAAGTCCGCCACTTGTGGAAATGTTTCTTCCAGTTTCTTCCTTTTCTAGTTGCATGATATTTATGCCTCCTCGTTGCTCTTCGGGTGTCAAATTATCCCCCCGAATTATTCTTTTTCACATTTCTATCTGATATTCTCGTTCCAATAATGTCAACATTAAATTCAGCTTAGAGTGTCGTCTTGCAAAGTTAATCGAGTTTATTTTGAAATGTTGGTTCATAGGCGTTACTAACAAAGTGGAAGAGAAACATGTACCTTGATCCGTGATTCACATGATTTCAAATTTATATGGAAAATTCACAAACAAAATTTATATGGAAAGTTTGTTATATTTGAAAAAGTAATATGTGGAATTGCAGTTACGCGAATAGATCTTACGTTAAAACATCAAAATGTGTGAAAATTCTGCCGAAGAACCCGGCTCAAGGTACAACCTTCTTCCCCACCTCATTTCGTTCTCCTCATGAACTTTCGTGGTAAGACGAGTTAGAAGTAGATAAATCAGGAAATATATATAATACCTTATAGCCCATTTTCTGTTGGTATTCCTTAATAGCTCTTGCCATCACAATACCAAACTGCAAAGTGGCATTTACTGACTCTTTGCCAGTAGAAGTTTTGATAAAATCCGAACCAGCCATCATGGCAACTAGTGACGCCTTATATACCTAAAACAATGAATGGTAAGCAGCTAATGGTGGAATCATAGAGTAAGTAAAATAATAAAATATTTTACTTTCTCTATGGGTGGAATTTACATCCAACCACCCTCACATTGTTCAATGTGTCCAATTCCCCAGTGGCAAGAATGGCTTTCATGTGGGCCAAACCACAGGCTTCTTTCATTTGCTGAATTTCCCTATAAAGCTCTTCCCATTGGCCAGTCAGGACCAATGATCGATCAATGACTATGTCTATTTCATTGGCTCCTTTCTCCACGGCATATCTGATTTCCTCCAGGCGGCTTTTCAAGGGGGTCTGACCAGCAGGGAATCCAGTGGCAACTGGAAGTCCAACATTTAGCCACAACTTGCGGCAAAGCGACATAATCTACCTGAGGCCACATTGACTTTTTTGTAATAGCCAAGCTGCTTAAGGGTTTGCACTGCATCTGGAACCTTCGAAGGGTAGACGCATACTGCAGCCGTTTTGATAGGGCATCCTTTATCGTAGCTGAATCCCAGTTCTTTTAGCAAATCTTCAGCTATCGGTTTAGTTGCCTGAATAATGGACCAGAACTGGGATAAAACATGTGGACACTATGGAGCACACTACCTTAAAACACAATCTCGAAACATTGCTGTTTGTGTCGTCTCCAGCCAAAGTGGTTAAATCAATTAGTGTAATGGCTTTTAGTATCCATGCAGCTCTGTACTCGTCTTTCAGCGATTTCGATGCGGCCAGTTGTTTAGCGAAATCATTCACCGCGGTTAGATTTACGTTTACACTATTTAGCCAACCGAGGTCTGTAGAAATAAGGACAGTTACTAATAAACAGCCCAAACATACGCATTCTAAAGCAACTCTTCTGAGCGCTTTTTCAAAAAATTCAACGACTCTTGCCAACTTCTAAATTCGCACATCCTGTAGATGCGTATTAAGAACTTCTTGGCCCGAAACAATTAATCGTTATAGTAAAAACTTTACTTTCCACTTGAAAAGAAGTTCTATTTTAAGTGAGACTTTGAAATTTTAGACTTTTGCCATAATTTTGAACTCAAACATCCTCTAGATCAAGGGCGGATCCAGGGGGGGGGGTCATGGGGGTCATGATTCACCCCATTCAATTCTCTATCCAACGATGCTAAAACGAATTCTGTGGCTTGAATGGTTCTTGAGAAACTTCGAAAAAAGCAGCGTCATGTTCAAGTGGATTTTGCAACTCAAAAAAAAACCACGCA